AAAAACAAATTTTACAAAGATGATTTCTTTTATTTACCCAGTCATTTATACAAGTGGGGACATCATGTGTGCTCCAAAAGTAAATGATAAACAACAAAATCATTTTCATTTGCACTATGGATCTCTCTTTTCCTTCCAAAACTCTCCAGTTTCTTCCTCTGGCAATTTTTGTTTATCAGAATGGAATCTCTGCATAGTTACGCAAAACCTTTTCCAGTTCTCCATCTTCTGACAAATGCCATATTCCCAAGCGTCATGCATATGCCTTTCCGAAGTCTAACTTGCTGAAAAGGCAAGATCTTGCTTATTCACTCTAGAGTCCACTTATTCAATTCTATAATCTACTTTGCAATTAGGGCAGCATCTTATATATGCCGCCATCCATCTACAATTGGTATTTGTGTCCAAGATATCAAAAAGAAAATTCTACTGAAGAGTTTAGAGAACATAACAGAGTGGGTAAACGTGTTTTTCGCTTAGGTGCCCAACCAACACTTAACAATTAAATTTCAGCCACTGTTAAGTGTTAAAAAGGAGGGGGAAAATATGAAATCAGATGCCTTCTCAACCCACCACCCTCCGGTTCTGTGCAACGCAGGCTCTTTCTCTTTATACTGATTGTTTGATTTATACATTTGAAAAAATCAACTATCGGATGTTGTCTTGTTTGTAAGCTTTATTTCTTTCTAAAGCCTCTCCGTTACCTTACATGAAAAGATGCAGTTATGGATTGGTTTGGCTGTGAATTTCCCTTCCATTCTTGCTCGGTGTTAGTTATTTAGGGTGAGTTTGTCAGTTGATCTTGCTTCTATTCTACTTCTTTCTGGTTCAGATTCTGACTATTTATCGGAACTGGGAGCATAGATGGAATTGCAGTGGATAGCTGTTGCTTCCTCTTTAACCTTCTACTGATCCACTTTCTGTTAGATCCTTCTAGCGGAAGGGAGAAAGCAGGAAGAAGATCAGATGTAGCTATATTTGCTTGATCCCACCTCGGGACTTGTAGGATCTAAACATTTTAATTGATGCCCAAGCATCCTTTTTGAAGGTGCTTTCTTGCCCTATCCTCCCTCCTTTTGGGACAGTAATTACTGCTTCCATCTGTTTTCAGTCCTTAGTACGTAAGCAAAATAAGTTCTAGTTTCCAAAGCTAATAAAAGAAAGGAATTGGTGTTCACATACTTCATTTGCAATTAGTTATCGCAAAAAGTTCATGATTGTTTTATGAGGCAATGCAATTAGTTAAAAATCCTAGTTCGTCTTTTTCTGAAAATGTTTATATAAGTTCTTCTTTCCTTTCACAGGCAATGCTTTCAATTTTAGATAGTCGAGTGAATAAAGCTGGGAGATTAAAAGCTTTGTATGTGAAGACCGAGAACGGTGTCCTATTTGAAGTAAAAAAACCTCATGTTCGTATCCCTAGGACGTTTAAACGATTTGCTGGCATTATGTGTAAGTTAAATTACCTTGAGCAAAATTTCTTCACCCATCTCTTTTCATGCTTATTACCATCTCTGATTTGTCTAATTTTGCGGTTTTGTCTAATTTTGCGGTTTTCTGATGTTGCTTCAAATTCAGTGCAGCTGCTACAAAAGCTGAGCATAACTGCTGTTGGTAAGCGAGAGAAACTGTTACGTGTTAGAGAAAACCCTGTTTCACAGTACCTACCCATTGACTGTCGGAAGATAGGTGAATAATTTATCTATTTTCGTTCCTTCCTTTTCTAATGGAATGTTCTTGACAATTGACTAATACCCCACTTCTCTTATGCATCAGGCTTTTCTCATAGTTCCGAGAAACTGGTGGATGTTCAGGAATATGTTAATGGCATCAACAAGGACATGAACCTTGTTTTTGTGGTATGTTCTAGTGTAATTTTCTATAGACAACTTCCTTTTGTGTGAAGTTACAGTTTTCTTGATATTTGACATATGCAGGTTGGGGCAATGGCCCACGGGAAAATTGATACAGATTATGTCGAAGATTATCTATCGAGTACGCTAATCTTCCTCTTTTCTTGTAACTTTTTGTCCAATCACAACTATAGTGCTATTGTGTGATTTTTCTGCCTTTGTCTTGATTTGCATAGCTAGTGTTTAACGTGTAGGAATGTCAACATCTGTTACTTGTGTCTGTATGCTCAATTGATGACACTAGGGTACTATTGATCTTCCTTGAGAGTAGAAGTACTTCTTGAGAACCACTTATTACTTTGGCAAATGAAAAGTAAATTGGCTGCGGCTAGTGCAGAATGTAGATATGGTTGGAATGTCACATAATCTTTGATTTTGTGATGTTATGCTAGTATATTCCATACAAAATGTATTGTAAAGTGAGAGATTGTTCTCTCCCTATGAGTTGTTCTGTTCAGTGTCACATGTCAGCTCTGAAGCAATACAGGCTCTAAACTGCATCTTAACCTACTTGACCATTCTCAGAATATGAGAGCTCATTATTATTATACATATAAGTGACAAGTCATAGTCTAGGCTCCTTCATTTCTACCTACCCTCTGGAAGTGTCGTATGTATGCATATCCTATGTAAATGCTAAACTAGGTCCATACTGTTTGTAGAATGTTATCCTTGTTTGTTTTTTTTCCTATAGGTTTTTCTGGTTGGTTAATCTATTATTATGTAAAATATTTAAGAAGTGTTAAATGGTTCTCTTCTACATTTGGAATGCCCTTAGCTCGTTTACAATCAATTTGAAACGGCCATCATCTTCTCATTGTCATTCTGTGTTGGAACTTTTTTGTTCAAGTTTTTGTTTTTTTTGTTTTGTTTTTGGGGTGACAATCAAGCAATCTCAGAAATTTCCAGATTGGGAAATTCTGATTTCTGACACCTTGTGGAGGTTCTGTTTTTCTTTTATAGCCTTAATGAACCAGGGTCACGAAAAACTTAAATTTGCAAAGAACGCTTTTATAATGACAAAGACGCAAAATATTTGAGATGAAAGAACATTATCACACGCCATTTCAGACCCTAATCGCTAGATTTCCCCTTTTCTGATAAAAGTGATAATGGAGGCATGACAGCAGTATAGTTTAACTGGTTATACGAAGTTAGCAGGTTGAAATCTTTGCGAGTTTATGTAGGTTTGCCCTTCTACTGCACCGATTACCATTCCTAATATTTTTTTTTTTTGAAGTGTCAGCCTACAATATTTAGACTCACAATTGGGAATCAATAAGTTGAAGCATATATCAATCGGATTAATTTATCCAAAAAATCCTATTATGGGTAGGCAGCCTTCAATCCGACGAGACATATCATATCTAAGTTTACAGTGGAGTAAAGGTAGTATGTAAGTACACTATGAGATCTTAATGCTATTGCTGGTAAGATAGTAAGGACATGGGATTTAATACTCAAATTGTGTATAACTAGGCACTTTTAAGGGTAACATGGTTTTTATAGCCTTCACAAGTACATGTCACTTCTCTTTTAATAATAGTACAAATGAAGTTTACAAAATTGAGCATCAAACTGGAATTTGGGGCAAAAAAGCTAGTTTCTCTGCAATGTTGCGCAGAAAAACAGGGTAACGGCCAATCTCTGGCCCAAGTTACAGCATTTCAACATTAATATACGTTCCCCTTCTTTCTTTCCTTTCTATGTGACATGAGTTATCTCTGCTCATTGTCCCAATCAAGGACCTGTAAGTAGGTCAGGGTTTGTGGACCGTGACCTGCCATCGTTGTGAGGTATTTCCTCTGGAATGTCCACACTAGCAACAATGTTGGCGGTCTGACTAGAGGACGATGGCTCTACGTTAGACATTTCTATTCTGGATTGATGACCACCTTTCGTGATCGGGGATATTTCAGGTGAGTCCCCTGGACTTCCTAATTTTCGTGTTTCTACTGGTCCAGGCTTTGTAGGTTTCTTCTTTTTTGCATTTTTATGCCAATTCATCAGTGCCTTGGAAGTTTGATCATCAAATATAGATCTTTTCATAGTTGATCCCATCTGAAAATTCCCAAAAAAGAAAGAAAATGAAGCATTTAACATGTTTTTGAGTTTATTTTGTAATGAAATAAGTAACTTCTAGTTACCTGGGTAACTAGTGCATACAGCGGAAGTGTAATGTAACTGCACAAAATTTGAACACCTAACCTGGACAAGCAACTCTTTTATCAGCTAGAGTAAGAGTGTATGGTAAAGGAACTTCAACTAATTGGTTGCTTTTGGAACTTAACACAATGAAGATAAGTACTTGTTCATTACCCTATAGCAACTCGCAATAAGGCAAGATAAAAATTATCGTGAAAGCATGAATGAAGCCCGAATTCATACTGCAGAAAATGGAATATCATCATGTTACACCACAAATGACAAGAAAAAAAAATGGAAATGAATTTTTGTCCGAGGAAAGTGTCCTTACCGATATCCAAAGGAAATAGGTGATCTCGAAAGCATTCTGCAAAACATAAAGGAAAAAATTTAGCTTAATATTTGCTTCCAACGGTATGCCTTGGACAAGATATAGCAGGTGGCGCGGAGTACCTGAAAGAGGGTGAGATGGACAAGATGAAGAATAAGCTTTGGTTTGCCAAACCAAAAATGTCTGTCTGAAACTTGGACAAGAGGTATGCCTTGGACTACAGCATGTCTTTCTTGAATTTCAAGAGCCATTTGAGCTATAATTGCTTGAAGCTTTGTCCCAACTGCTAATATTATCTTTAACCAATCCAGTGGTTAGTTCTCTCTTCATTATAAACAAAATAGAATGCAACAAGTAACCAAATTATGATAAGGATTTCTTACAACTAGAGGCAATATGGACAGCCAAAACATAGCTTGCCATCCTGAAACACAATATATTTGTATTCGAAATCAAAACTGATATAATTCTTCTGATTGGAATTACTTTCAAGAGACAATATGTCTTAATAGAAAACAATCGAGGTCCCTAGAGTTACCATGAACATTCATCAGAAGATAAACAACTGCAGAAAACCATAGCAATGAACTGCAAGTATAACAAAGATAAATCATTAGTAGCACATCAAAACCTGAGAAAGACTTAAGTTATTTTATAAAATGACACATAAAGAAGATGAATGTTGTTTAGTTCATGTCGAAAAGAACGTACTTGATACCCACAACAATCTTGAAGTCATCTTCCAGGGATCTTTTTATGTACTTTTGAAAATTAAACTTACTTCCAGGTGCTAAATGGACCTGCAACAAGAGGAAATCAATAAGCAAAAGAACAGTAATTTGATTGTTAGGAGCCTTGTATTTGTGAACCTCACCGAGATGAAACCATGGCGCATGGTCAAGTAGTCAGCTTTCCGAACTGATCTAAAAAATTGCCGAAAAAAGCACACCTGAAAATATTGGCAAAATAGGTATTTACTATCACATACAAACCTATCAAAGCCCCCATTTATTCATCCAAACATATTGATAAAATATCCAAAAAAGAAAAAGGCGGGTGGTTTAGTTTTTCTTACAGAGTAGAAAAGGATTGGGGTGGTCCCAAAACTGGTATTATCCCTAACAAATGATGTCTCTTTGGTAAGCCTGAATCTTGAGGAATCTGCATAGAAAGGTCACATAAGAAAGAAAAGAAATACAGGTGAAGAATTAAAGATTAAATCCCTCTTGGTTTAATGTGAAATGTAAAATATCCTACAAAGGAAGAGTTCTTAGATCACTTTCGCCTAGATGGTTAGACTCAACATAATCCAACAATAGTATAGGATAGCTAGGGGCATGGGGGAATGGCATTCAATGACTATAGTGAACAGCAAAAATTGAAGCTAATCTTCGCACCTAATAGTTCTAGAGTTTCAAGATTAAAATTTCCTAACACCCCCTTAAAAATCTTCAAACTTGACTTACTTTATAAAATATCTGTAATTTGGTTGGGTCTACTTCCTGCATAAGAGCAATCAAGGACATGTACGATGGAGCTAAGACTAAGGTTAGGACTGTGGTAGGTGACTCGGAGCATTTCCCGGTTGTTATGGGATTACACCAAGGCTCTGCGCTTAGCCCGTTCTTATTTGCCTTGGTGATGGATGCATTGACACACCATATTCAAGGGGACGTGCCATGGTGTATGTTATTTGCTGATGACATAGTTCTAATTGATGAGACGAGGGTCGGTGTTAACGAGACAGACCCTCGAGTCTAAGGGTTTCAAATTGAGCAGGTCTAAGACAGAGTACATGGAGTGCAAGTTTAGCGCTGAGTCGAGGGAAGTAGGCAGGGACGTGAGGCTTGGATCACAGGTCACCCCCAAAAGAGATAGCTTCAAGTATCTTGGGTCAATGATCTAGGGGGACGCAGAGATCGACGAGGACGTCACTTACCGTATAGGGGCGGGCTGGATGAAATGGAGGCTTGCATCGGGAGTCTTGTGTGACAAGAAAGTACCACCGTTACTCAAAGGTAAGTTGTATAGAGCTGTGGTTAGACCGGCCATGTTGTATGGGGCAGAGTGTTGGCCGGTTAAGAACTCCCATATCCAGAGGATGAAGGTAGCAGAGATGAGGATGTTGAGGTGGATGTGCGGGCACACTAGGATAGACAAGATTAGAAATGAGGATATTCGGAAGAAGGTGGGCGTGGCACCTGTGGATGTCAAGATGCGGGAGGCGAGGCTCAGATGGTTCGGACATGTGCGGAGGAGAAGTCTTGATGCTCCGGTGAGGAGGTGTGAGCGGTTGGCCGTGGTGGGTACGAGAAGAGGCAAAGGGAGGCCTAAGAAGTACTGGGGAGAGGTGATCAGGCAGGACATGGCACGTCTGCAGATTTCTGAGGATATGGCCCTTGATAGGAAGGTTTGGAGGTCAAGCATTAGGGTTGTAGGCTAGGGGGTAGTAGGGCTTTGCGTACGTCATACCGGGGGTGAGGCGGGGTTGGATTAGGGTTGATCTTAGATAGCTTGCAGTTTATGTTTCCACACTATCCTTGCTGTTTATCTTAGCCCCGGGCCTTAGTTACTAGTTACTGTTATTGCATGTCATTTATCTTTTGGTTGTTATGCTTCTGTTACTATTATGGTTTCTACTGGAGTTACTAATGAATTGTCTCCTTCTCTTTTTCTTTTTTCTGAGCCGAGGGTCTATCGGAAACAGCCTCTCTGCCCTATCGGGGTAGGGGTAAAGTCTGCGTACACATTACCCTCCCCAGACCCCACTTTGTGGGATTTTACTGGGTAGTTATTGTTGTTGGTTGGGTCTACTTCACCTTCCTTGGCAACATTAAAGATACCAGAACAGGGATATGTTCAATAGGATAGGTTCTAATGATTTGTACTCCTTGGTGTGGAAACTGTTTTTTGTGAGTTCATCACTAAGTGCTGCAAGCATTCCATTCCAAGAAAATCATCCATCAGATTTATCTCCGTAGATGCTTCTAAGTCTCTCATATGAGGCTTTTTATGTTTATGTTAACTCAATCGAGGCAAGCGGTCAAAATTGTACTGGTCTTGATTGTTTAGCCCCAAACTACTCATGTCGCGGCTACTAATTGCTATTGCAAACAACCATTCTGCAATATCCAACAAACTATCAGTTAAAGATTCAACGTAAACCAAGTAAGCAACAGTAGACTTGTGGTCCTTAGCTGGTAGAATAAATGCCTTGAGCTTAGAGCATTCTACTTCAAGCTTAGCCACCATCTTGATATATACTCTCAGGGTGTTGCTTGTTAGCCACTTCAGCAGCATGAGTGCCCAAATCCCACTCACATGTCTTGGATATGGAATCAAGCTCGAGCTTTAGAAGTGAGTTCTATATCTGCACACAATCAATCTTACCTTGACACTCCTAGTACAAATCCTCCTTTTCTTCTGTTGCAGCTTTCTAAGCAACCTTCAAATCGACAACTTCAAAGTTGTATTTTCGTTTTTCGGGATGTCGCATGCGAGGACAAGGTATAGTGACATTTCGAGGGCAAGGCATTGGCCTTTGACACTAGGCCGCATGCAACAACAATGTCGCAACTAGAGGTTTTTCGAGGTGTCGTGTGGGATGAGAACAAGGCCTAGTGACATGATGAGGGCAGGGCATTGGCATATGACGCTAGGCCACATACAACGACAATGTCATAACTAAATGTTTTTCGGGGTGTAACATGCAAGGCCAAGGCCTAATGACATGTCGAGGGGGGAAGGCATTGGCTTATGATGCTAGGCCACATTCAACGATAATGCCCGGTGACTTTAGGCAGCATGTGCCATGCCAATGACTGAGTTCTTGCTTGATGCTACTCTCAGAATACCACAGACTAAAAGTATCCTTATCGTCCTTCTTGGGTGCTAGCAACAAAGTTGTCTCCTTATTCTTGTGATCAACAAGATTGGGTCTCTTCAATATTACTACGACAGCCTTAGGAGTGATAACCAAATTTATGACAACCAAAGCATTCAATCTGAGATTTGTCATACCTATGTTTTCCTCTGCTTCTTGCTAGTAACCACGACCTCTTCCTCTTCCCGTTCATGACCACGACCTTTAAATGATTATTAGGTTTTCTCCTCATTGTTGGATTTGTTACCACTACATCTTCCTCTTCGACAACAAATAGTACGTTTGTCTACATCCTCTATTGATCTTTTTCACCTCAATCATCCTTCAAAGTTGCTCTTGTCAAAGAACGAAGGATGTTCATGAATGTTTTCTACTTTATCTGATCCATATCTTTTCAATTTATTCAAAAGGCCGTCATCCTTGAACAATAATCCAAAATTGAATTGAATTCTTAAAGCTTCAAAATACCCCTTCAAGATTGAAGCCTTGCCTTCTTCACCTTGTCTACTCATTGGAGATAATTTTGCAAAACCTCCCGCGTTTCCTTTGAGGTGGTTGTATTGGCCGCATTCTGAAACATAGTATCACCCAAATATTGATGGATGAGACTTGAGACTTGAGACTTGAGAGTGAGACTTGTTGATTCTTTTTCCTTGTCTTTGCCAAAATATCCTTCTCATATTGAGGCTAAATGTCCTCATTGTCGGGCTTCTCAAGCCCCAGTTCAACTATTTTCTGCACAGCCAAGTATTGCTTTCATGCAAAGACACCAAATTTTCATAATTTTCGATGTGACTCCGCGAAATTAGAAACCAAGTGGTCCATCTCTCTATTTTGTTCAGCACTCTTGTTTCAATTCTGAGGACTTTTGGCTCTACACTACTTTGTTACAGGAAGAGAACTACTAGAGGAGAGAAGAGGAGAATACTTTGTTAGTGAGAGAACTCTTTGCAACTCACTTGATTGCCAAATGACAAGGACAAAGGAGTATTCATAGGCGCTTCTTCTCAACTTAGAGCCCGTTTGGATTGGCTTGTTTTGAGTGCTTTTAAGCCAAAATAGCTTTTAAGTCATTTTGTAGTGTTTGGATAAAGTAAAAAAGTGCTTTTAAGCACTTATTTTTAAGCTAAAATGACAAAAACAAGCCAAAAGCAACAAAGCTAGAATTCCTAACTTATGGCTTAAAAGTTATTTTGGCTTAAAAGTCACTTAAAGCAAGTCCATCCAAACAACCTCTTACTTCTTCAAACCATTTTCACATATATACACAAATTATGAACTTGATCACATTAAAAACACAACATCCACACTTAAATAACATAAGAATCACGCACCTTAATACATAGATATGCTAAAAATCACATGAATATCACCGAACACGACACCTAGTAGTTCTTGAATTTTAAGAATAATTTTTCCTAACAATAACTTACCTCATCAACTATCTAGTGCCTGCATAAAACTAGGGCATAGAAGAAACAAAAAGAATTTAGATCATGATAATTTCACACCATACCATTGGATGCTTCATAATCGTGCTCGACTTCCTTTTCCCATTCTTTCCACTCTCGAATCTGCATAACACAATGAAAATTTTTAGTCTCTTAATAATGTTCAAGTATTTAGTACAAAAGCGGAAGTTGGAATTAACATTGTGAGGGTGTCTCCTTTGTTGGGAAAACAATCTTGATCCTCGAACAAAGTTTCAACCACAGGAAGCAACGATATTTTGATAGACCTAAAATGGTAAAATTTTGTGCTCGTTACACTGAAAATGCGGAAAAACTCTTACCTTTAATCTTCCAAGAAGCATAGTAATGGCACTGTAAATAACGTGGAAGACGGCCAAAAAGAATATGAAGATGTGTAGCTGATGCAAACCATTGAGGGATATCAGTGGAACGTGACCCTGTCAATGTGATTACTGTTAGCCTGTAAATTTTCAGAGGAACATGTATTTAAGCAATCTAAGCCAAAAACTATATTATATTGAGAGTACAATTATTTACACTAACACAACAATTGCACCTCAATGCCAAGAAGTTGTATGAATCTATATATAAGTTTTAATCCAAGAAAAGGTACTCACAGGCTTGCAGGCCTTGGCAGGACTATCAGCTGCTAATATCCTAAAATGGTCCCATAGAAGCCTTCGATGATGTTCTCCAGTATCGATATGACCATGACCATGACCATGTCCATGTCCGTGCTGAGCAGGACAAGGCAACATAGTGTTTGCAACCTTTACAGGTATGCATATTTTGGAAATGTAGTTTTGTCCAAACGTCAGAAGCAACGATATAAAACCCAGAACCATAAGCTCTACAAAAAGATTGATTGAAAACCATTAATTATCAGGGTATCACTAATTAGTTAAACCCCTCCTAATTTCTTGATGTAAAGTAATAGTAAAAATTTGGTAAGTTAATTATTACAAAACCCTTACCACCCTTAATCTTCTCCAATGCTTCCACCAATGCACTCTTTCGCCTTCTCTCAAATGTCTGTATTTAAAAATAACAAACAATGTAACGTATCATATATCAACTTCTATGTGATATGCGAGTGTCCAAATCCTTCATTAAACCAAATTTTTTTTTCCTTTAACCATCCTGTATTCGAAATTATTGGCTCGATTAATTCAAATTCGCGCCACGTACGACCTCATTATTTTCTGCTAAAGGACAACATTTTGTAGTTCTTTCAATGTATTTCTTTAAAACTTATCTTTTTGAGAATTCCATGATCAAAACATCAAAGGGAAATTCAAGAAAGAATCACATAAATAAAAATTTATACGTAAAGAAAAAGGATGATATGTAAAAATTACCTCTCCAACAGCATGAAGAACCTTTTCCAATAAAATGGAAATAAGAACAATAACAGCACAGACCAAAGCCACAGCCCATGTGGGTGTTTGATCCAACTCCCTTGCACCAGGATCGGCTCCTCCTGCCATTTTTTCTTCTTCTTAATTTTGTTATTATTATAAATAAATTGTTTCTCTTAATTAATTTCCCCCTTCAAACCACTTTCTGAATAGATCTCATGGGGAAAAACTAGCTCTGAATTTTCGGAGAAAAAAATATATGGAATGGGAGCCAAAAATGCAATTACATTTGGTTGAGCCTAGTAACATGGACCGGTTCAGTGAGGAGGAAAATAACAGAACTGAACCGGGATAGTATTAATTATGGAAGGAGACAAATGTGGGGAATCTTGCATTGGTTGTTGGAATTGCAAGGATGGTTTTGTGCAGAAATTTGGACACAGTTTTTCTTCATAATTGGCCCTTTTGGACATGTTAACGAGAGTATTAGTAGGGATTTAGTTAGATTTTGAAGCCATAATAGCACCAAGTGTCGCACAAAATGTAAAGTTTGAAACAATGGGCATGAAGGTATTAAGTTTATTTTATAATCGACCAGCTTGCATGTATTTCAATTAATTTCATATAACTTTGTCCGTTAAAATAGGAAAAAATATATTTAAACGTGAGATTTTATGGTTCTCAACTCATTTCATTGACACTAGACTCTTGAGGGCATTTAGGTATGAATTTCAATACAACTTCTCTAGTTTCTTCTTTTTCTAAAAATATTTCTTTTCCTTCGATTTGTAATATTATTAAAGAAATTCTTGGAGCTCTAAGTGAGTAAATTTTTTATTATATAAATTGAACATCTTTTATAATAGAGAAAGGGAGACCACCTCGTACTTCCACGATCCTAAAAGCGATATGGATGCCCATCCCGTCAATGTAAAAAAAAAACTATATGCCTTATAAATGTAAAAGTAGGAGAAGTGGCGAACTAAGTGGAAAATAAAGTTTTTACAATAAAGTTTATACTGAGCTTTTATCCCCATTTACAAAAGTCTAATGTTAAGGTAAAAGAAGCTGGAAACCCTCCTCTTTGCATTAATATGAAGCCGCATATGGTTAAAACCGGGCCTACCCGATTGTGCTATTTAATTGAAATCAGGGAATTGTTTCGAGGGTTAGCCTCGAAGTGGAGCGGATCAAAGTGACAAAGGTAAGGTACTGTGTTCGAGAATCGAAGTGCCTGCCGAGATCAAAGCCGGCAGTGATCGGGGTCAAACAGGGCAGACTCCAAGCGAAGCGTAATAACGGGAAAGCGAGATATCCGTGACTGATCGAAGATCACGGCGGGAATCTCGGAACCGATCGAATCAAAGGCGGTTAATTAGCTAATCATGTGATTTCCTTCTATAATTAGAGTTATACCATAATTAGTGTTGATGCCCCCTTTTTCTCGCGAAATCGGGTTTATGACATTTGGGCGGACAACTCGTTTCCTTTTGGGAATTGGGTTTGAAATGAAGAGTCGCCACCTAATGATTAAGTGCATTAGGACACTAGGAAGAATTTTGATTTAGAAAACCAGAGATTGGGTAAGGGCTTGAAATTATCCCGAGGAGAAGGTGTTAGGCAGCCCTCGAAATCCACTAGTGTGGTTCCCGACCATACTAAATTGTGACTTTAAGTGCAAACAACAAGTAGACAAGCAAGAATTACAAATACGAGGGGGGTTTCATGTAATGGTTGCATGAAATTGAAATTAAAAGAAGTTAAAGAACCTGGAATTTAAGAAAAAGCAGTTTTGAGTTTTGAATAAATAAACCAGTAAAGGGAAAGGGGTTTTCACATAATTACTGCAAGTAATTGAAGTTAAAAAAAGAGATTAAAGAAGCTGAAATTTGAGAAAAGCAGTCTTTAAAAATAAACAAGTAAAGGGAGGGGGTCCTAGGTTTATAAATAATATGGATCACCCCACACAATACCCGGTAACCATTTATACACGTGGTGTTATCGCGTGGTCATCATATCCATATCTACCCTTTCCCACCCCGTTAAGGTATTAAACGCGGAATGGTCTCGTTTTACTTATTGCATGCTATTACCCGCCCCCATCCTATCAGCCCCGGAGGTATTTGGGACTACTAATCCTAAAGGGAAGGGATGTGAGGTTTTATGGTTTCAAAGGACAAAATTCTAAGGCGACAATCAAAACACATATGTAACAAATATGGGGAAGAAACATACAATAGATAGAAAGGGCTCAAACAAACCTCCTTAAAAAACAAAGAGAAGCATATAGTTTAACATGTCTTTACACGTACTGATTAGGGTCTGATTAAACTTAAAAGTTGTGGTAGACTGATCTATTACATATTTCAGATAAGAAGCCCGAATCAGGCCTGCCTGCTGGTTGTAGTTAATAAGAATCTGATTCAATTTTTAAGTTATCCTATGGCTTGCCTAAGTGTTAAACGAAACCTATAGGCATGATATCTATTAGTTCAGAAAAGAAGTATGGTGATTTAGGAAAAGAAACTGTCAATTACAGGAGTATAAATTCTACAGTCGTTGTTGTTACTACTGATTTTAGACTTATAAGCGAATGGGCGATTCAGATTTTAGTTGATAGCTCCTATATGCATGCTTTCTAGGTGCTATTGATTTGAAAAACATTTTTTTACAAGCGAAACAAGAGTGCAGAAGTCCTATGGGCATGGTATCTAAATGTTGTTAGTTATTTAAACCTATAAACGGGTTTGCCTAGTGATAGATGCAGATGCAAAATTCAGGGAGTCCTATAGGCATATTATCTATATGATATACAGCGTTCAGAGATGACTTATAGACATGGTCTCTATGTAATGCAGAAATGCAGGACCTATAGACATGGTTTCTATATGAAATGCAGAACCTATAGACATGGTTTCTATATGAAATGCGTAACCTATAACATGGTATCTATATGCAATACAGAAACGAAAGTTGAAAGCAGGATATAAGTGCAGAAGTATAATAATCACCTATGAACATGATATCTACCCCTTTTTGCATGCATGATTTACCCTCCCCTTTTCACTAAAAGCCCCAATAGTTATTACAAGTTATTACAGCCCAGAATAAATAAGAAAGGTAAAATTACATCAGAGAAACTATAAAATTTACAACCAAGGAAAGCCTGATTCACGTTTCCTGCCTGAAGCATGAAGTAAACCAACTCCAAAGACCAAAATCCAAAGCCTTTCTCATTTGGGTGTGTCAGAGTTCCCAAGAGCCTCATGGACTCCGGGCAGTGCTTACACCCAAATACAAGATTGAGTCATAGTGCAGTGTGGAATAGCCAACCCTCAAGTGTCCAAGTTCAGAGAGAGCTCAAGGTCCCAAGGCAAGGCTCACAGGAGGGGGGCAGAACTTAGAAACTAGGAATGAGTGTAAGTGCAGAGAAGGGATTCTGGGGGAAAAGCAAAGATAGGCTGGTGGTCATACCTAGCAATTGGAAGTGCTGGCACACCCCAACCAGCCTGTTAGCCACATTGTTTGGGAGTTAGGATCCCCTAAGGGATCAAGTCCAAACATGAGCAACAATTTGGATGTTGCCATGTTCTGAACTTCAACTCAAATGCATAGAAGGGGACAGCGGTGCAGGAATTCACAGTAGAAACATACGCAAAGAAGTTGACATGCTAATTAACATTAAACATAGGCAGTAAAGCAGGCAGGGGTGTAGGGATTCACAGTAGAAACATATGCAAAGGAATTGACATGCTAATTAACATTAAACATAGGCAGTAAAGCAGACAGGAGGGTAGAAACTGTAAAGTAACCACATTGGGATGAGGCTGAAAACAAAACTAGAACATACCAGTTTCAGGGAAACAAAAGAAGAGAAAGCAGTAGTCTTGTAAAGCCAAAGTGTAAGCAAGCAGTCAGAACACTATGATTTTAGAAGAGAACTATGAGATTGAGTAGTGTAAAAGTGTTGAATTGAGAGTGTGTAATTGAAAGTGTCTGAAAAGTTGAATTCAAGGTTGTGTTGTGAGAAAGGAGTCTTGCCCTTTTTATATTGTAGAAGGCAAGCAGAATAAGGTAGGAGAATAATTTAAACAAATCAGTTGTCAATCAATTACACAAGTTTCCCTTTATTTAAGGGATTCTGATTTCAAACGGGTAAAATAATTAAGGAAAGAGGTTGATCAAACACTTTTCCAAAGCAGTACAAGAAGGGTGAATACATAGAGATTTATTTAAGGAAAAGGTTTGATAGCACACGGTTTGTGCAAAATAAGAAAAAGCAATCAATCAACAACCAGTAAAATCAGCAATTGAAGATTTCATGTGAATGAACCAGGTCAGGAAGATGGGAAAAACCTTGACTTAAGGAAAATCAGTACTAATCAATTAAACCTAAAAGAGGATTCTGAATCAATCAAAAGTTGAAAACCTTTTTGGAAGAAAGGATTCATCACCCATATAAAAACATAAAGCCATGCTCAAGTACGAAGAACTATCATACCATTCAATAGAAGAGTCTAGCATAGAAAAAGTTTAGAGTCATAAACAAAGAAGTTCAAGCTCAGTTTATAGATTCAGAGCGAGTTTGAGAGAGTCCAGGGTTCCAAAATAGAACTCGAGCCCAAACACAAGATCAAAACTCGCCAAAACCCCAAATCCTAGGGTTTCCAACTCGAATCAGATACAGAGACGAGGAGACAAATAATTGAAACAGGTTCAGAGGTCTCTTTCAGAGACTTATGAGAAAACAAACAGATACAATAGCAAGTTTGAAACAGCAAAGTGAAGAAACTGATTCGAAGCATAGTGAGGGTAGAAGGAACATGTTTTAAGAAAACCTGGGACTTAAACAAGTTCAGAAGCGAAAAGAGGTAGTATAACACTTAAGAAAACAGTAGAAGAAACATGTTTAAAGAGAACTCAAACAAGGTCTAGTAAAAGGGCAAACAAAGAACTTAAGAACTCCGTAGGAGATACATACAGTATGAGAACACAAAATACCAGAAAAATATATCAACAAGACATATAGGAAAAACACAGTAGGACGAACATGTAACTATGGTGTATAAACACAGTAGAAAGACAAGGAACAGAAGAACATATATAGTAGAAAAACATAAGAAAGCAGTAGAAGCGCATGCGTGACAAATATACACAAAGAAAAACGAAAAGAAAAGTCGGAGAAACATTTTGAACTTTCAGAAACCCTAAATCGAAGAGAAGTAATTTTTGAAAGAAAAAATTGGGGAAAACGTTTAAGAACTCAAGTAGAGCACAGATATAGAACAAATTTAAGAAAACAAATCAGAGAAACCTCGAATAGCTAGGGTTTCAGAGGAACCCTAAAACGAGAAAGGCTTGGAAAAGGTCCGATCTGAGTCGGATAAGTCAGAAATAGGCTCATAATGCTTGGATACGCCGGAGCAAGGCCGGAGAGGCCATAGAACCTTGAATCGGAGAAGATCTGAAC